GTTGTAATACTGATTATCTTTCGGCATAATTTTACGATATTTCGGACTCGGCAGGCTGTCAGCTTTTGAATACACTGCTCTTCAATCTCCTGTAGAAACTGTACTGGGTACAAAAATGACTACTTAAGTAGCATGTATTTCTCCCACTGATTTCGATGGTTTTGCAAATTCAAATATATCTTATAGAAACCACGAACAAAAATATGCTTTCTTTCAGTCAGTTAACAGAGAATCAGGTCTTCTTTATATTTTATACTGAAGGAAGGAGTATAATTAGGTTTCGAAAAAGTTTTCTAATTGCCGAATAATTTGGAGCCTGACCAATCCTTGCATTAGCGCATAATGATTTCAGTCTACAAGGCGCACGCGTTCCGCGTGAAGAAAATCACATATTTTTCGTTGCTTTTAAAAAGATACCAGATGGAGTCCATGGAATTTTGAAATGGCTGTGGACTATGTAGTATATACCATGAAAAGCAGTGGTAAACGGACAGGTACGATGCTGTATGAAGGAACCTTGCACGGTCCTAAAAATTCTCACAAGGGCAAACTTTTCTAAAACATAATTATGCTACTTCTTCGAGTATTAAATATAAAAATGATGTAATTCTCTACCAAACGACTGAAGAAAGCCTATTTTTTGTGGTTCCTATAAAATATATTTGGATTTGCAAGGCCATCGAAAACCAATGGGAAAAATGCATTCTACTTAAGTAGTCATTTTTACCCAGTAAGGTTTCTACAGAAGACTGAAGAGCAGTTTTTTCAAAAGCTGACATCCTGCCGGGTCCGAGATGTTATAAGATTATGCCGCAAGATAATAAGTATTACATCGGCGCCCAACTAATCCTCCCTAATAGAAAAATCACTTCAGAATTTCGGCCATTTCATGAGATCGGTCGCTCACTGTATACTGCCCTTTATTTTTTGCGGAGGCATGGTTTTGCTCGGAGCTTTAAGGGTCATTCTGCATGAAAACTTTGGGACTGTTTACCTTATTTTAGGTTTCCTCTCCTTATGTGTCATTTTTTGGGTGGCTCTTTCCTAAGGATTGAACTCACGGCTCTCGGTGGGGTCCCGCAATTCAGATGGTTAGAGCGTTGGCTGCACTAAAACCTTCCCCCTGCTGTCGTGGGTTCGAGTCCCATCTAGGTCGCCGAGTTTTCTACAAGTGGGTCTGATAAGGTCTAGGATTTTTTAGACCCGGCTCGCACAACTGACGGTCCCTTGGAATATGTGAACTTTTGTAAACGAAAAAGTCCTGGATTATTTTCTGTACCAATATGTTGTGGTAAATAGTTTTGAAAGACCCGGCTGCTCTGATTATTTCCACCAAGTGACAATAATTCGAAGCACATTGTTCATCAAGCGCGGTCGGACTGCAAGCAGCGTGACTACCACGTGAGATTAAAATTCTAGTACTGATTAATAGGTACACTCATCACACCAGCGTCGTCATTACCGCCCGCGTACCGATTACCAGGTTAGTTTGTGGGTTACTCAATGGAAGTCAAACATCCTTTCTTTATCGGATCTTTACAGAACGCGTGGGTGGTACACTCTTGGCCATGCCTCGCTGTACGCACTCCGTCCTCCGGTCTTGGGGAGTTCATTAAATGTCCCCGTTTGTCTGCGTACAAGCCAGCCGCGAAAGCGGTCTCCTAGTGTTCCCCTTCTTTACGTTCCTGTCGGCTTCCTTCATAGTAGGTGCCGTAGCTTGTATAGCGGGAAGTCTTCCGTGTGCTGCTAATTGGGAGATACTACTTAAGTGGAGTTGTCGGACGGATTGACATGAACCACAGTCCCACCTCAACTTGCATGCAGTGTCATGCCCATTTATCAATACCCCTCGTGAAGTATGCAACCTAGTTCACATCAATTGCCGAATTTCATGATTCCTATATGGTATCTTCTTAACAGCATGGAGGAATTTATGATTTCTCCCGCTTGAGAAGTAAACAGCTTGTAACTTGGAAACCCTAAACACGAGGGAAATAGCAGATCAGGATCAAACTTGTTCGGAATTCAAAAACTTAAAACCGAAATAAACCCTTTCATCAAGTGTAAAATTTGAGGAAAGCATGATCAACTACCAAGAGAGTGTGAGGAAGCGTGTGCTTGATCATTCTTCAAAATTTATTTGGTTTTACGAAGGCTTAGAAAATCAATGGAAGGAAGCCCATGCTTCATGACTAGTCATTTTTACCGAAAAGGAGTGCATTCGAAAGCCTGACCCTACCGAAATATCGTGGGGTCGTCCCGCGCGATAATAATTATTATGACCGTGCTTAAGTCCTCCTTCCTAATCGAAATTGCATTTTTGGATCTTGGTTAATATTTCATAAGGTTGGCCACTGACTGTGCTAGATAGTTTGGAACCCCTATTGGCATTCAAAGGAGCGGGCTGTGTTTCGATCCTGTTTGATTATAAAGTTAGAAGTCTAGACTTAATTATGTATGAATGAACTTGAGATAATGGCGTTTTCTCCTCGAAAGCCCACTTCAAAACACTTTGGCTGCCCGGCGCATCTGCTGGTGACGGGCAGTGAAACGGCCTTGAACAAAGGTGACCTGTAAAATACAGTGCGTGACCGATCTCATGAGATGTTGGCCAAAATTCTGGAATGCGTCTCCGATTAGGAAGGATGACTTAAATGGGGTTATTCTACTGGTTACCTTGCAGCATAACCCTATAACATTTCGGACTCGTCAGGGTGTCGGCTTTTGAGTTTCCGTCCTTTTGACCTCCTACAAAAACCACACTTGGTAAAAAATGATTACTTAAGTAGCATGCATTTTTCCTATTAATTTCCGATAGTCTTATAAATTCAAATATATTTTACAGAAAATATGGACAGAAATATGCTTTCTGTTGCTCGTTTGATGGGAAATCACATTTTCTTCATATTTCATGCCCAAAGAAAGTGTATATTTAGGTTTTAAAGAAGTTTCCCAATTCCCGAATAATTTTCAGCCTGATCTGCCATTGCATCAGCGTTTAGCAATTTCAGTCTACAAGGTGCATGCTTTCCGTTTAAGGACAATCATATATTCCTCTATGTCTTTAAGAAGATACCATATAGAGTTCATAAAATTTTGCAATTGATCCGGACTGTCTTGTACATTTCGTGAGGAGCATTGGTAAACGGACATGTGTGGTCTTGCATGCATTGACATCGCACGGTCTTAAAAATCTCACAATTAGAAACTTTTTTAAAACCTAAATATGCACTTTCTTTGGGCATAAAATATGAAGACAATGTGATTTCCTTCCAAATGAGCAAAAGAAAACATATTTTTGTGCGTGTTTTCTACAAAATATATTTGAATTTATATGACCATAGAAAATCAATAGGAAAAATGCATGCTACTTAAGTAGTAATTTTTTACCGAGCGTGGTTTTTGTAGGAGGTCAAAAAGACGCGCATTGAAAAGCCGACATCCTGGCGAGCCCGAAATGTTATAGGGTTATGCCGCATGATAATCAGTTTAACAATGCCACTTAAGAAATCCTTCCTAATCGGAAACGCATTCCAGAATTTTCGCTAACATTTCACGAGATCGCTCACGCACTGTAAGTAGATTTCGTGGTTTGATGAATAAGCAGTTGCCAAGTGACAGCGACAGGGCCACTGGGGCGTGCGGATGCTTGGGGTCTGACTCGCTGACCGACTTATAAAATGCCATAGAGCTCGGTGACGACCATGGACCGCCATTAAACAAGTTTTCTCGCCACCGCTGCCTTTCGGTTAAAATCGTTAACCAAGGTACCAAAGGAGAAACTTTCGGATAGACTATTTGAGCAGCTGTTGGGTAACCGCCGTTACTAGTGAGGTCGGTTAGATCGGGTGGGCAAGGAGTTCATCCTCAGAGATAGAGGCAGCATCTGGGCAGGCGGCGGTTGTGGAGGGTATTTTCTAACCAACGATCACTGACGCAGGCTTGTAGGTGCCTGTGCCGGGCTGTGTACGCCGACCCAGATCGATAAATCGACCGACCGAGTTCTCATCCGAGGCCCAGGCTTTATTCAATTCTCGGCAAGTTTTGTCTCCACCGTGGACGATTAGATTAGTGGTTGCGAAGTGGAACTTGTACCCGTTTCGAAGATGTGAGCAGTCACTTGTGATAGTTTGTCACCCCGTTGCACAGTCGGCTGATGTTCGTGTATGCGTGATTTGAGCATGCGTTCAGTCTGACCTGTCCAATGAGTGCGAGTGGATGCTCACGCCTTCCAAACGAGTCACAAGTCTAACTTCGAGCATTCGCCTCAATTTGAGAGAATTGACAATACAAGAAGAGTCTGGAACACTGTTCGGCTAGTTAAAAGTGCATTCAAACGAGAAATAATCATAAGTTTTCGGTGGATGTAAATACTCACCGTCATTCAGCTGGTGTGAACGGTCTGATCTGCAGATTTTAGTACGAGAACGCTGGAGCGCACTGTCTATGACCCACAGGAGGTAAGATTATCTTTTTACCTCGCTTCCTATCAGTTGGTATAGTGTTTTTCTTGCCGTTCTTATGATACTGCATCTTTTCTGCCGCTGGTTAACAAACAAAACGTTCAATAATTGCGAATGGAAGCGGATACGCGAGTCCCAGGATGTCGCAAAGAAGATGAACGTGTGATTACTGGGACAATAGATGTATTAGCCATAACTATACATAACCTTCTTTAGAACACAGGTCTATGTAACCGGTGGAAGTATTTTTTGTTTCAATGCTTTTTTAGCGTTCAAAGTTGAGTTTTGAAAAATCAGTCGAGCCAATGTTGGCGTCGTCTAATTGTGTACTCAGGTTTCGCATTCACCTCTTAGTATATATACTTGGAAATGTCAGAATCAACATCGAAAATTTAGAAGAAGTCATAAGAAGTGCGCCACATACTGAGAGAGGTGAAACGTCTTCGCGAGAATTTTCTGGTCGTTAATTTGGCATTTCTCTCTCCTCTCTGATGCTCCTCTCTCCTCTTCTGTCCGCAGTAGAGCGAACCGAGAGCAATGTCCACAATCTCCAAGGTTGGTCGTCTTGTCCTGCCAAGGACAGCCCTTCTGGTCTGTGACATTCAGGAGAAGTTTCGTCCCGCTATTGCCCATTTCGATGCCATCGTCAGTGTATCCAGTCGCCTCATTGAGGCAGCGAGGCTTCTGCAAATGCAAACCATTGTCACTGAGATGAATCCCAAAGGTGAATTAATATAACTTCCTCCCTCCACCCTCTCCTCCTCCTCCTCCTCCTTCTCCTCCTCCTCCTCCTCCTCCTCCTCCTCCTCCCGAACGACCCACCTGTTTTTTTCCGAAAGGCACGTTATGTGCCTTTTCGTGTTCCCGAACTGTTGAGTATAATTAGACTTTAAAAAGGTTTTCTAATTACCGATTCGTGCGTATGTGTATTTATCGGTATTTAAAGGGTTACAAGCAGGGGCCTGGATGACCCCATTAATGCAGTTATTTTTCACATATTTACAACTGGTGTACAATTACAAACATTCGCAATTGTGGTAAAGGTGCGCGAACTGATTGCTTTGTGGAAATCGATTGCAACCGACAGGACAACGGACCCGTAACTCAGTGGTTAGGACGCTGAACTCATAATTAAAGATCGCGAGTTCGGGCCTCGGAGGCTGCATACCTCTGGGTGGGCTATGACTGGCCAGTGACGGCTAACGAGCCAGAACCGGTCATTCCAGCCCCCCCTCCCCCTTCTGTCAGTAATGCTATTCTACCTATCCAGAATTGTGTTCGAGTTTAGACTTCCGATTTGCGTCTTCAGACCGCTCCTTACCCCCCCCCCCCCTTTTATGTAGTCTTCACGGCTCAGTTGACCGCAGATCAAGGTTTTATTAAGACTGCTTTGACCCCGCCAATGGCAGCGTAGGGCGGAGTCTATTGCCATTTCAGGATCCGGAACGGTCGTCTAGGCCTTCGGACCGGGACCTCCACGGAGCTCATTAGTAGCCCTGCCAAATTTATCTTTCATAGACGTTTTGGAAGATTTTGAATAATTCATATTGACCCAACTGTGAAAAACTCGGCGCCTCAGTGGGATTCGAACGCACGCAGTAAGGGGAAGGCTTTGGTACAGCCAACGCTCTAACCACTTGAGCTACGAGGCCCTGCCGGACGACTCGAGTTTAATCACATTTCTGAATTACGTGAGCCTGGTAGGCATCTGGTGGATTCTAGATGAATTACTCAGGAAATCCTACTTAGACAGTGAACTTACTATATCAGATTTGGTGGATTCTAGACGTTGCAGTAGGCTGGCGGGTAAACTTGACCCAAATGTGATTAATCTCGCCTCGTCCGGCGGGGCCTCGTAGCTCAAGTGGTTAGAGCGTTGGCTGTACTAAAGCCTTTCCCTTACTGCGTGGGTCCGAATCCCACCGAGACGCCGAGTTTTTCACAGTTGGGTCAATATGAAATTGATCTTTGTCACTCGCGAATATTACCTCATCACATTTGGAAGTGTTTGGCGTGTTGCAGCATGAATCCCACGCACGTGACGCCCGACACCCAGTTTTCGCACGATCAAGACAAATGAGGAGTGGGTTTGGTTGAACCACTCTCTTCGGGAAATTTGTCGTTGCCAAGTTAATGGTTTAGCCTGGCGCGCGCGTCTCTATACAAAGACGATGCGCGTCTAACATGAAATCCAGCTAATGTCATGGTATTGATTTGTTTGGATGATTCCTGCTTCTGTAAACACCTTCGATTGGTTGTCCTCTGACCTGAGCGCGCTCAAGTTGCATCCATTTGAAAGCGGCGGTCACGTGATTCCTACTGTAGCGTCTTTGCCAAAGACGGAGGGAAGATGTACGCATCTTGAGGTGTGTGCGCATTCTGCATCCTCTACCTGTAGGCATAATACGTTCATATCCGTCCTGTTATTTCAGTAATCACGCTATCTCTCGGAACCGTTTCTTCCTATACTCATTGGAGTTCTCCGAAGGCGCTTACGTCGACCATTCACCAATTATAAGTCTGGCAAGGGGGTTAAATGGATAGTCTTTATTAATTGAAAACACAAGCGAATAGCGAGCACATGTCGAAGTCGAAGATTATCGCGTTGTTGATCGGCAAAGTAGCGGCCAAGTTCACGGCAGTGTGCGCTCGCTGCTATTGACGGTTGCTTCCGGGAAGGCTTGCGTTTTCATGCAGTGGTATCGCCGCTGGACAATGAGGCTCGAGGCCTCATGGGAGTGCGCTAGTTCCTGTCAGTCTCTCCCCCTCCCCCCTTTTAAACCAGATATGCCCTTAGTACTTGCGCTTGGGACAGTATCTTTTCATGCTAAACACTTGACTGGGCCCGCATGACGTTTTAGTGTAACGCTACACCGTTCCTATCAGAATGATATGCCCTTTGAGTAAATTACAGTTGGCAATATTGATTTCCTTGTTTCTTATTAGTTGTTTAAGCCCTGTTGGTGCCCTTTTGGCCCAGGGAAAGCTATATTACTGGGTTTCCTTCATCAGTTCCTCCAAATCTGGCCGGACGGCCTTTCCCCAGACCTGGCCTATCGGACTGGTCTTATACTTCTTGTGTTTCTTTCTGTCCTTTTGTGTCCTATTGCTAAAGAAATCCTGCCACCGACGAACACCTTTAAATTGGTGGGGGCTAAAACTGGTGGACTTTCCGGGTCTGTATCGTATTCACGTTGACCTAATATTCAGCGTCTTGGTCTTCAATGGGGCTACCTGAAGAAGTGGGTGGACATGGGAAGCCACAAACGCACACCGCCCCTTGTTATCCTGTTCACCGAACCCATACCGACGGCTGTGAAAGACGGTCAAGAGGGGTGCGTTTTTCCTGCAACCGGGGGGGCCAACTCAGTCAGTATTGTGGAACTCCGCTTGGGTAGAAACTTGCTCGCACGTCCTGACTTTGATTTACCGAGTCTTCTGACCCACGGTGGCCTTGGTAGTGAGGACGGGGGAGATGACGACGACACATATTTTCCCATCTTTTAATTTGACGTCAATTTTCCAGTCCCTCGGTGGGCAAGGGTCGATTACGCTGTTCTGGTCCCAATTGTAAACGCAGCGTGGGCATTGAAAGTAAAGTAAGTCGAAGGAGGATGCTGCAATCGTTAGTGGGGAAAAGTAGCCGAGGCTGAAACGGAAAAGGCAACCTGATGTATGATAAATCTGCTACGAGATTGAAGGGGGCCTAGAATTCCGCATAAGACCTGGCTGACAGGACACGCTGGACAGCATTACCCCAAACCTAACGGTAAACCTGACCGTAACTTCAAAACTATACCCAATCCTTAACGTAATTATAGACCTAACGCTAACTCTAAACTTATCACTAACCCTAAACCTACCGCAGACCCTAGCTCTAACCCTGACAAAAATCCTAACCTCAACTCTAACCCGAACCTTATCCCCAAGCGTAACAGTAACCCCAACCGTAATCCTACTTGAACACTAACCCCAACCTTAACACTAAACCTAAACCTAAACCACAATCAAAGCCCCAACTCTAACCAGAACCCTTGAACTTAACACAAACCGTAACACTAAACCCAATTCTCAGCCTGACACTAGCTCAAAGCCTCAAACTAGCCCTGCCTCTAAACAGAAACATCAGGTTGCCATTATCCGTTGTTAACTTTGGCTACTTTCCCCACTAACAATATCAGCATCTTCTTTCGGCTTACTTTACATGCAATGCCCACACTGCGCTTACACTTGGGATCAGGACAACGTAACCGACCCCTACCCCTCGATGTTCTGTGTTCTTCCTATTGACCCAACTGTGAAAAACTCGGCGCCTCGGTGGGGTTCGAACCCACGCAGTAAGGGGTAGGCTTTAGTACAGCCAACGCTCTAACCATTTGAGCTACGAGGCCCCGTCGGACGATGCGAGTTTAATCACATTTGGGTCAAGTTTACATGCCAGCCTACTGCAACGTCTAGAATCCACCAAATCTGATACAGTAAGTTGACTGCCCAGGCAGGATTTCCTGAGTAATTCACCTAGAACCCACCAGATGACTACTAGGCTCACGTAATTCATAGATATTTTGGCGGGGCCTCGTAGCTAAAGTGGTTAGAGCGTTGGCTGTACTAAAGCCTTCCCCTTATCATCCTGGGTTCGAATCCCACAGAGACGCCGAGTTTTTCACGGTTGGGTCAATATGAATTATTTAAATTCTGCCTGAATATCTATGAGTTCTGTCTTCTATTTTTTTCTATACAAAGGCTGGCTTTACGGGCTTCTCAGAGTAGTCATCACTGCATTGTCAAGTAAATACAACTTCTCCCCGTATTCACTCTGCTTCTACCTACTTACCTTCTGCGTCTTCTGTAGGTCTGGGGCCGACGGTGCAGGAGCTGGGTGACCTCAGCGGAATCCCCGTATTTCCAAAGATGACCTTCAGCATGATGGTTGAGGGTGTTGAAAAGGCGCTTGGGCTAGGCACCAAAATCGACTCGGTGATACTGTGTGGCATAGAAACGCACGTCTGCGTTCAACAGACAGCCCTCGACCTGCGTCAGCGCGGCATCGATGTGCACTGCGTGGCTGATGCGGTCTCCTCACGCAGCATGGTGGACCGCCTCATTGCCTTTGAGAGGATGCGCCAGTCGGGTGTCTACGTCACTACCAGTGAGGCCGCTATTCTGGGTCTAATGAGCGGCGCCGACCACCCCCTCTTCCGCACAGTGCAGAAGTTGATCATCCCACCGGCGCCAGACAGCGGTCTGCTGTCCTGCGACGATGGACGAGAAAAGAAACAGTAGCATGCGCGTGTTTGTACGACCGAGGCCTGCTGCTGGAGTGTCAGCGCCGACTAACTAGCACATTTTGGCTTTCGTGTTAGTAGCTTTTGGTACTCCTTGTCAAGTTTGACCCTCAACAGACCGTCTTCTGATGTGGAAACTTGTATACATAAGGGTACACTAAACGTCCTGCTTGTATGGCTTGCTCCCTGATTTGGGTTTCAGACACCGGTAACAATTGCATCGCGGTCGCATCTCAACTGTTGGAGACTATGATAATCTAAGTGAAGCAGCATGTGGACTGCAGGTCAGATGAAACTGTCGGATAAAACAACAAATATGTAGGGATATAACCTACTCAAATAGTTATAGTAGATATTGTTTCTAGGCAACCTTTGTTGGTGTCATCATACTGCCTTAAGTATGTTCCACATATTTACCATGCTTTCCCGCCTCCTTACTGTGACCACGTGAGGAGGATATTGACAGGCGCACCCACGCATGTGGTCCTGTCCAAGTGTGGACGTTAACATGTACAGTGGGCGGGCTAACTCATGAAATGCCAGCCAAAATTCAGAAATGTGCTTTCGTTTCGAAAAGATTAACTAAGTAGTGTTGTAAAACTAATGCAGTTACCTCAGAAATATGCATAAAAATATTCATGCTCCCGGTCATTCGGTAGAAAATTACATCTTCTTCCAATTATATACTCGAAGTAAGGGTATGACTCGGTTTCAACAAAATTTTCTAATTCCCCAATAATTTTGAACTCGACTGGCCGTTACACCTGTATTCAGGGTTTCGAAACTACGGGCCGTATATTTTCCGTGTACGGAAAACCATACGTTTCTCTACGGTATTAAGAGGAAATATATGGGGTTCCTAAAATTTAGCAGTGAATTTGAGCCATATTGTTAACTTTACAAACCACATTGGTAAATGCAGAGACATGACGCTTTATGAACGGCCATTTAACGGCATTAACATATCTCACAATTAGAAATTTTTTTAAAAATCGAATTATACCCTTCCTTCGAGTATTTAATGGGAAGACGTAATTTTCTACCTAATAAGCAAAAAATGAATATTATTATGCATGTTTTCCACGAAATATAATTGACATTTTAAGGGCATCGAAAGTCAATGAGAAAAATGCATGCTACCTAAGTATTCATTTTTTAAAAAGTATAGTTTCTGCATGCAGCCGAAAAGAAGTTCATTCGAAAGCCGACGTCCTGAGGTAACTGACTTATTGTAGAATTATGCCGCAGGATGATTCGTTTTACAACCCTACTTAATTAATCTTTTAGAAACGAAAACGCATTTATGAATTCCGGCTGGCATTTCATGAGTTAGCCTACTTACTGTTTGCGTCCACCCTCGGAGGCTGAGAGCCCCACCGGAGCACACGATGCCGACCGGAACCAAAACTGTCAGCGTACCCTTATTTATCGGACCAGCTCCTTTTATTGCAGCACGTTCATTCCATCCTCTTCTCGCTGCATAAAGAGTCCGTCGTCCCACCTTGGTTCGTTTCTTTCTCGCAACATCGACCGGAGGGGCAAGCTCCGAAATTGGCGCGTACACTAGGGAGACTGTAGAAGTTCTCACCATTGTGGGATTCGACTTCATGAAGTCTGATTTGTGAATACTGCATGACTGAGGAGGGAAGAGAGTACAAAACCGATCCCTCACTTACCTTCAAAAAACTCTGCTTGCAAGACCATCTCAGCGATCTACCGGTCGCAGCGTAAAAGACTGCCATCTGTTGTCATGTATCGCACCCACGGATAGACGGTCAGGCTTAGCGGTTCCTTTGTAATACGGCCGCTGCGGAAACCCATGTGTTTGTGCTTGGAGCTGTTGAAGTCTTGTTCGCGCGAACTGTGCGGCCAGCGCTCGCATAGCCCACGTAGATGAGCATATGATATTGAGTCAGCTATTGGGTCCGCGTCCATTTACGGCTGTCTTAAACTAAGCTTACCATTAGATCATGATGGATGTGGGTAGGGAGGATTAGGTGGGTTCTGTGCATGTCCACGCTATAGTCCAGTTCGTGACATAGTCACCACTCATTCCCTTTACCCCTGGCTTCAGTGGTAGTCATCGTCGCTCCTGATGGCCGGACTATCGGATATTCATAGGACCATAGCTCATGGATCTTATAGCGGACCGGCGGACCTTCGAATTCCTGGACTCGCAATTTCTACGCTGAAGAGCTTTGTAATCGCCGAACGACCTGCGATAATAAATGTCGGTCTTTCTGCAAATTTCCGGGAAAAATGGCGATCAGTAGGAAACTGGGACTCTTCTATCTGGCACGCACACTGGATTTTCGTTATTCGCATCTTTGGCAAGACAGGTAGCAGGAGAGTTATGGTTTACTTCAGCGCTTATAGAGGTATTATTTGGCCCTAAAAGGGTCTACGCAGTTGACGTTCTGGACCAACTGAATATCGGTCCGGCAGGCGTCATCGGGAATGCGCATCCATAAAAATGCCAACATTTGAGGTGTGGTGGCGTGCCCATGTGCTGGCTCACGCAGCGCCCGTTGAAATCCCTCCCACCCCCTATCTCGTTGTGGTATAAAATCCTGCTCAGTGTCTGCTGTGGTTCAGGGGGTGGGGTGATACGACTGGGTGCGTGCTTACGCCGCGCCAGCCACCTGTGCCCTCTCCCACCTCCGGTCGTCATGACCCCGTCTTGACATCAAACCCAGGGGGGGGGGGGAGTGTGCGGTATATTCTGGGCAAGCCAATCGCGAAACGGATCCATGCTAGGGTCATAGTCCTTGCTCCAGCGCTGCTGTGGAGCACACGATGGACATCGTCGGAAACAACAGTCGATTGTCATTATGCAGGCATTATTTTCTTATTTGAACGCGGCTGAGACTACCCAAGCACCATCTACTCGGCATTCTTGTCAAAACGCACATGTTTACCTTTTGGCTTTGGGTCATATCGAAAATTCCGGTGGACCTCTGTCGCTGTAGATGTGGCGATGTCCTCCGTGGCACTGATCTAGGTGTTTTCTACACTCGGTTTTCTGACGATTTAAGGCCGATATCTGCTTGAGGACCGAGGAAAATTTCAAACCAAAGGAGTTTCCGGCCCCGATGGAATTTTGTGCTCATCAGCACTTGTCACTCGTATATGGCTGTTTAGTGACAATTTTACCATCTCATTAAAACTGCTCACGAAGCAACAAGTTATCAGTGGGTCCGTACGGGATTTTTGCCCCCGCACCGGTTGATCTTTGTTTCATTTGATAAGTTGAATCATGCGTCCGTCTCAGAGCCGCTTGGACTGTCCCTTCACTTAATGATCAAGACCAGGGCTGAAAGTCTAAGGTGATTGATGGGCAGATAGTTGCGTTGCGATTCCTGGTCGTTGTCCTATACCTCACATTCAAATGTCCATCTTTCCATCCAGGAAGGTGTGCTGTAGTGGAGAGGTAGCTGGCTGAGCCCCGGAGTCGGCAACAAACCTAGATCCTGGGATCGTCTAGGGACAGGCATCTCAGCTACTGGCGTGTTTTTCTTGGGACTAGAATATTCCAGCCGGCCACCACATTCTCTGGTGGCCATCGAATATGATGGGCGTCAAAAAGACGTTCGACAAGGGTATTCGTGGCCTCATTCATTCGTGGTGATACATTGTCGACCACAAAGTTCTAAATGGCAGTTCGACCGTCGCGGACGACGATGTCCACCGTGTGCTACACAGTAAGGTGCAACAGGTACGGTGACTTTGGCGTGAATTAATTCATAATGCTAGTAGACTTGCGCAGCGTCTACCGTACTCTCTCGTCCCCTCTCCCCACCTGGACTCTTTGTCAAGACAGAGTCAAGAACACCGGAGGCGGAGGAGGGCGCAAGTGGCTGACACGGCCGGACCTGCAACTAGACGTGCCAACCCATCCCCTGGTCCACAACATACACTTGGCCAGGATTTTGCAATGTACGATAGTTCTACTGTCACGGACGACGATGTCCACAGTCTGCCACACAGCAAGGTGGTCGCAGGGGCGAAGACACGCACGTGCATCTATTGCATTCTCCCTTTCCTCACCCCTTACGACCCGGCGTCAAGATATACACAAGAAGAGCGGGGCGGAACCGGACGCGGTTAGTGACAGAGCCGGACAGATCATCTTCGCGTGCTACACACGCCACCTCCTCGCACGATTGGCTAGGATTTCATAAACGAGAGAGAAGCAGATCGAATTCCATGTAAGTGAGATCACCCCTGAGGTCACTCTGTGAGGAAGACATTGCGGCCTGATATTCCATCCAAAGAGGAACGATGTAACCCGCTGCCGTCCAAGTCACGAGTCGACAGCACATATTGGCACGCAGGATACGCAATGCGTTTATCTGGTCCGGTTTCAATAGAAACTGATGTAAGAGTAAAGCATACGGACCCGTTCTTGTGCTTTTTGCTTACACTTTTACTACTTGTTTTCGGTGGGTAGATCAGAGTGCTGTAATAGTTTTAAGCGAAGTACGTGTCACGACTTTGAGTATACATATAAAAGGTGAGTACACAATTATCTTACTCGTGGGCACTATATTGACATATTACTGGGAAAGTGTCGAAATCAAATACCAATTCCCCCACATTTACTTGCATATTTTTTCTATTTGGAATTGCAACTAGCAAAATTGCGTGCATTATTTCGATTTCCACTTATAGGTCCGAAAAGTTTTTTTGTGTTTGGCTAAATCTACTCTCTATCGTGAGTTGGATGTGTCCCTTTCTTTGCTGTGGTCGACTTGGTTTTCTTGCATCGGCTGCATCTGAAAACGACTCTATCACTGTTGGCTCGAAGTACTTGCCTATTCGATTCACCTATATGGCTACAGGCTGTTACCAGAGAGGGGACATTTTTTCGCTGACAGTAGTCAATGATTTCCTATGAATTAATCATGCTTTTCCATTTTCCATCAGCAGTGTATATTCTGCTCCCCTATTTGTACGCACGCGTTCTTCGGTTGAAAACACGGGGTCGCAGTTGTGCGT